CCAAAACATGAAAAGTGATTCAAAACCATACTAACAAAACACCATACAACCATACTAACAAAAAACCATACAACCATACTTGACGACTTGAAGACGGGATTGATCAACGCACTACGAGTCTTGAAGCCATTGGAAATACAAATATTTAAAATCCGAACCCAAAACATGAAAAGTGATTCAAAACCATACTAACAAACACCATACAACCATACTAACAAAAAACCATACAACCATACTTGACGACTTGAAGACGGGATTGATCAACGCACTACGAGTCTTGAAGCCATTGGAAATACAAATATTTAAAATCCGAACCCAAAACATGAAAAAGTGATTCAAAACCATACTAACAAAACGCCATACAACCATACTAACAAAAAACCATACAACCATACTTGACGACTTGAAGACGGGATTGATCAACGCACTACGAGTCTTGAAGCCATTGGAAATACAAATATTTAAAATCCGAACCCAAAACATGAAAAGTGATTCAAAACCATACTAACAAAACACCATACAACCATACTAACAAAAAACCATACAACCATACTTGACGACTTGAAGACGGATTGATCAACGCACTACGAGTCTTGAAGCCATTGGAAATACAAATATTTAAAATCCGAACCCAAAACATGAAAAGTGATTCAAAACCATACTAACAAAACACCATACAACCATACTAACAAAACACCAAAACCATACTAACAAAAAACCATACCATACTTGACGACTTGAAGACGGGATTGATCAACGCACTACGAGTCTTGAAGCCATTGGAAATACAAATATTTAAAATCGAACCCAAAACATGAAAATGATTCAAAACCATACTAACAAAACGCCATACAACCATACTAACAAAAAACCATACAACCATACTTGACGACTTGAAGACGGGATTGATCAACGCACTACGAGTCTTGAAGCCATTGGAAATACAAATATTTAAAATCCGAACCCAAAACATGAAAAGTGATTCAAAACCATACTAACAAAACACCATACAACCATACTAACAAAAAACCATACAACCATACTTGACGACTTGAAGACGGGATTGATCAACGCACTACGAGTCTTGAAGCCATTGGAAATACAAATATTTAAAATCCGAACCCAAAACATGAAAAAGTGATTCAAACCATACTAACAAAACACCTTACAACCATACTAACAAAAAAACCATAGAACCATACTTGACGACTTGAAGACGGGATTGATCAACGCACTACGAGTCTTGAAGCCATTGGAAATACAAATATTTAAAATCCGAACCCAAAACATGAAAAGTGATTCAAAACCATACTAACAAAACACCATACAACCATACTAACAAAAAACCATACAACCATACTTTTGACGACTTGAAGACGGGATTGATCAACGCACTACGAGTCTTGAAGCCATTGGAAATACAAATATTTAAAATCCGAACCCAAAACATGAAAAGTGATTCAAAACCATACTAACAAAACACCATACAACCATACTAACAAAAAACCATACAACCATACTTGACGACTTGAAGACGGGATTGATCAACGCACTACGAGTCTTGAAGCCAATGGAAATACAAATATTTAAAATCCGAACCCAAAACATGAAAAGTGATTCAAAACCATACTAACAAAACACCATACAACCATACTAACAAAAAACCATACAACCATACTTGACGACTTGAAGACGGGATTGATCAACGCACTACGAGTCTTGAAGCCATTGGAAATACAAATATTTAAAATCCGAACCCAAAACATGAAAAGTGATTCAAAACCATACTAACAAAACACCATACAACCATACTAACAAAAAACCATACAACCATACTTGACGACTTGAAGACGGGATTGATCAACGCACTACGAGTCTTGAAGCCATTGGAAATACAAATATTTAAAATCCGAACCCAAAAACATGAAAAGTGATTCAAAACCATACTAACAAAACACCATACAACCATACTAACAAAAAACCATACAACCATACTTGACGACTTGAAGACGGGATTGATCAACGCACTACGAGTCTTGAAGCCATTGGAAATACAAATATTTAAAATCCGAACCCAAAACATGAAAAGTGATTCAAAACCATACTAACAAAACACCATACAACCATACTAACAAAAAACCATACAACCATACTTGACGACTTGAAGACGGGATTGATCAACGCACTACGAGTCTTGAAGCCATTGGAAATACAAATATTTAAAATCCGAACCCAAAACATGAAAAGTGATTCAAAACCATACTAACAAAACACCATACAACCATACTAACAAAAAACCATACAACCATACTTGACGACTTGAAGACGGGATTGATCAACGCACTACGAGTCTTGAAGCCATTGGAAATACAAATATTTAAAATCCGAACCCAAAACATGAAAAGTGATTCAAAACCATACTCAAAACCATACTAACAAAACACCATACAACCATACTAACAAAAAACCATACAACCATACTTGACGACTTGAAGACGGGATTGATCAACGCACTACGAGTCTTGAAGCCATTGGAAATACAAATATTTAAAATCCGAACCCAAAACATGAAAAGTGATTCAAAACCATACTAACAAAACGCCATACAACCATACTAACAAAAAAACCATAGAACCATACTTGACGACTTGAAGACGGGATTGATCAACGCACTACGAGTCTTGAAGCCATTGGAAATACAAATATTTAAAATCCGAACCCAAAACATGAAAAGTGATTCAAAACCATACTAACAAAACACCATACAACCATACTAACAAAACACCATACAACCATACTAACAAAAACCATAGAACCATACTTGACGACTTGAAGACGGGATTGATCAACGCACTACGAGTCTTGAAGCCATTGGAAATACAAATATTTAAAACGAACCCAAAACATGAAAAGTGATTCAAAAACCATACTAACAAAACGCCATACAACCATACTAACAAAAAAACCATAGAACCATACTTGACGACTTGAAGACGGATTGATCAACGCACTACGAGTCTTGAAGCCATTGGAAATACAAATATTTAAAATCCGAACCCAAAACATGAAAAGTGATTCAAAACCATACTAACAAAACACCATACAACCATACTAACAAAACACCATACAACCATACTAACAAAACACCATACAACCATACTAACAAAAAAACCATACAACCATACTTGACGACTTGAAGACGGGATTGATCAACGCACTACGAGTCTTGAAGCCATTGGAAATACAAATATTTAAAATCCGAACCCAAAACATGAAAAGTGATTCAAAACCATGCTAACAAAACGCCATACAACCATACTAACAAAAAACCATACACCCATACTTGACGACTTGAAGACGGGATTGATCAACGCACTACGAGTCTTGAAGCCATTGGAAATACAAATATTTAAAATCCGAACCCAAAACATGAAAAGTGATTCAAAACCATACTAACAAAACACCATACAACCATACTAACAAAAAACCATACAACCATACTTGACGACTTGAAGACGGGATTGATCAACGCACTACGAGTCTTGAAGCCATTGGAAATACAAATATTTAAAATCCGAACCCAAAACATGAAAAGTGATTCAAAACCATACTAACAAAACGCCATACAACCATACTAACAAAAAACCATACAACCTGACGACTTGAAGACGGGTTTGATCAACGCACTACGAGTCTTGAAGCCATTGAAATACAAATATTTAAAATCCGAACCCAAAACATGAAAAGTGATTCAAAACCATACTAACAAAAAACACCATACAACCATACTAACAAAAAACCATACAACCATACTGACCATACTTGACGACTTGAAGACGGGATTGATCAACGCACTACGAGTCTTGAAGCCATTGGAAATACAAATATTTAAAATCGAACGCAAAACATGAAAAGTGATTCAAAACCATACTAACAAAACGCCATACAACCATACTAACAAAAAACCATACAACCATACTTGACGACTTGAAGACGGGATTGATCAACGCACTACGAGTCTTGAAGCCATTGGAAATACAAATATTTAAAATCCGAACCCAAAACATGAAAAGTGATTCAAAACCATACTAACAAAACGCCATACAACCATACTAACAAAAAACCATACAACCATACTTGACGACTTGAAGACGGGATTGATCAACGCACTACGAGTCTTGAAGCCATTGGAAATACAAATTATTTAAAATCCGAACCCAAAACATGAAAAGTGATTCAAAACCATACTAACAAAACACCATACAACCATACTAACAAAAAACCATAGAACCATACTTGACGACTTGAAGACGGGATTGATCAACGCACTACGAGTCTTGAAGCCATTGGAAATACAAATATTTAAAATCCGAACCCAAAACATGAAAAGTGATTCAAAACCATACTAACAAAACACCATACAACCATACTAACAAAACACCATACAACCATACTAACAAAAAACCATACAACCATACTTGACGACTTGAAGACGGGATTGATCAACGCACTACGAGTCTTGAAGCCATTGGAAATACAAATATTTAAAATCCGGAACCCAAAACATGAAAAGTGATTCAAAACCATACTAACAAAACGCCATACAACCATACTAACAAAAAACCATACAACCATATTGACGACTTGAAGACGGGATTGATCAACGCACTACGAGTCTTGAAGCCATTTGAAATACAAATATTTAAAATCCGAACCCAAAACATGAAAAGTGATTCAAAACCATACTAACAAAACGCCATACAACCATACTAACAAAAAACCATACAACCATACTTGACGACTTGAAGACGGGATTGATCAACGCACTACGAGTCTTGAAGCCATTGGAAATACAAATATTTAAAATCCGAACCCAAAACATGAAAAGTGATTCAAAACCATACTAACAAAACACTTCAATCAAAAACCCAAATTCTCAAAAACATTTCTTAAGATTAACGTTATTCATGAATCATTTCATAAGTTAAGGAGCCCAAGCCAACGGCCGTACCATGCTGAATATACCGGTTCTCGTTAGATCACCGAAGTCAAGCATCATTGGGCGCGGTCAGTACTTGGGTGGGTGACCACCGGGAACACTGCGTGCCGTTGGCAAATTTGGGACCTGAATGGCCGAGTGTCTAGCGCTCTGGCGCTCAGGTTTCGGGTTCGAATCCCGGCGGTGCCATGGATGTTTGTAGTGGTTCTCAATCCACTTTAAGCTGTAGGTCCCGGTCTTCTATGACTGTAAGAGCGTCACGGAGCAAAAGTCAGGCTTCTACCTACGGGTGCTCCATCACAACAGAAGCTGCTTCCTTCCCCTTCAATCATGAGTACGTATGAGCTCGTTGGCTTGGCCAGCCAAGTGGGATAAGAAACAACAACAAGAAACAGGAGCCCAAAGTACCATTTTTCGACAAAATTTGCAATGGAGTTTTATTTGCTTGACCCTCATTTTCGGATAACGACACGGACCCCTAACCAGGACAACATCATGTTCACACATGATAAATAAATAATAATAATTGAAAATTTCAAGACTTAGAGAAAAATGAAAAGGTTAACCCATTATGAATAAAATCCTTTTACTCTTGTAGGAAAAAAATAAACTTCAAGTTTTTGCCGCTGTAAGAATCTAAACGAAGGAAACAGAAGTGAAAACGGATGAATATATATGTTTATTTTTATGCTAATTAGAAAATACTCTGAAAATGCAACGTCATTCCAAACAATGACTTTTCCCATTCATGTTTTTTTTTAAATGTGTGTTTTCTACATGTAGTTACAGTTAGTAGATTTAAAACATCATCATCATTGGCGCAACAATTCCGTAGTGCGCCAAAGCCGCCTGCCTACTGGCAGATTTCGAGACGTTTTCTTTTTACGGCATAGGGTTATCAGCCCTACACTCAATTCTCTTACAGTCTTATTAGACCGGGGACTGAATGGCCGAATATCTAGCGCTCGGTGCCACAGGTTCCGGGTTCGAGTCCGACGGTACCATGGATGTATGTAGTGGTCCGGAATCCACTTTAAGCCATAAGTCCCGGTCACATATGATCGTAGAGCGTCATAGAGCCCAATCAGGCTTCTCACCCACATCATTCCCAAACTAAAAAGTGGCAACTCAGCTCTAGGCACAGTGATGTGGTGTGGTGTAGTAGTAGAAGTCATATTAGACCGGGGCGTGAATGGCCGAGTGTTTAGCGCGCGGTGCAGAAGCTTTCGGGTTCGAGTCCCAGCAGTACAATGATGTATGTAGTG